TAATATATATATATATGCCATCCATCCTGACCACCTCCCTGTGAATCCAGTGCGGTACATAAATGTAGTGTTTTATTAATACAAAGAAACATAATCTCTGAACATAATACAGGCAAAAATTACACCACAATGTAACTATAAATGCAATTTAGTAATATACACACACATAATTTCTAGGAGACAGGGTTGGGTGGGAAACACCAACTGTGGACAACCTTGCCTGCTGAAAACAGTGCTGCATTCTTTCGAGACTTGTTGACTCGCTCCAAGCAACACACCAACTAAAGACCTGGATCACCCAGCTGGCAGCAGCTGACAAGAGAGCTGGGAACCAGCAAAGCTGTTTAAATCAGTGCTTCCCGATGACTTGGCTGTGGGGGCTAAAATGAAAGAAAGATACAGAGGAGTATATTGTTAAGGGAACTTGGTCTTTATAACCGTTTAATTGATATTCTGTCAGAATGACTCCAACATTGACCATGCCCCTCTTTGTGCCCATCATAATTACTGTGAGTACTGTAGTGGCCTTTTCAAAGTATAAAAGCTTTGTGATTTCTGGGACTTTGCTCGGTGCTGAATCAACAGCTAAAGTTTTCTGAGGCCTCTGATCTAGGCTGTGGACTGTGCTCCTCTGTGTGGGAAGGCTCCTCCTCCCTCTTTCATTGTGCTTCACCTCCTTTCATGGTCATGTGAATATGCACAGTGATGTCAGGGTGGATGGTACCTCCCCTCAGACATACAGTAAGTTCAGACCCCATGCAGCATTCATTCCTATTTAAAGTACAATTTACTCTGCATTCAGATAGCGAAAACTCTAAAATAGCTTTTAATTCTAACTTCTTCTCAGACAATATGATGTGTACTTATCATTAAACTACTTATAAATTAAACTCCCAAAAGAAGATGCTGTTTGAACCTCTCTAACTCCGCCTGAACGCCAACGTCCTCGCTCCCCCCCTCCTCTGTTAAATGGTATCTCACAGACGCACTACGTCATCAAACCATGTGATGTTTGGTATTGCTGGATTCAGGAAGCTCTTGACTTTTCAAAAATAACATTGTTTTTCTTTTATTTATTATGTATTCCGCACCAGAGCAGCCTAAACACACAAAGTCCAAAATTGCGATGAGTGGTGACAAGTCATGTCATGCTGTTTTTCGACGGGAAAAATTAAAGGATTACTCGCAATCTTAGGCGGAGCCGTCAGTGGACACATAGTTGTTTTATAAAAGGTAAGAATCTCACTCCTACCACTATTTTTGGCTGAGACATACCGTCTAGAAAGTGGGATCATAACTTTCACGTTTCATATGGCTTTATTTGGTGATATTTTATGGTGTTTCTGTGTCAAAAACAACATCAGCTATCATAATCACTCCTGATTTCAATAAGGTACAATGTCTGAAGCTGGCTGAGCGTTGTTTGATCACTGATTGTATTGTTTTGAAGCTGAATGAGCGCTCTTGTCATTTGGAGCTTTGCATGGAAAAAACACTGTAGAATGGTAATACTTTGAGCACTCTTCCTCAAATTTGAAACAAATGTTCATTGATAGTGTGCCTACAGCCCCACAGTGTCATTTACCTGCTCACAGTCTGCACACAGACAGTTATTCATCCTGAAACACATTTTTTTTTATTTAGGCAAAATCTTAATTTTTTTACTGATTTAGAGACTCATTACTCTGTCTCTGTATCACCTAGAGTGTTTCTGACACAAGAAACTTCAGGGAGTCTTCTTTCTGGCAAGACCTCATGCATGCATGTAGACAGAGCGGTTCAGACGCTACAGTCATTTTAATTTAGGTATGTCATTTTAGGCATTTTTGCTACAAAATGGGGGTGGAGTGCAAGAAGGTCCAGTGTGTGAGATTTAGTGGCATCTAGCAATGAAGCTTCACATATGAATCTTCTCCTGTGTGCCAAATGTGCAAGAGTACGGAGCCCGTTAAAGGTCAAGTCGGAGATTTTTTTTTGGACTGACTTTTGCGTCCCCTCGCATTACTTTTGCGTTACCTCGCAATACATTGCGTTACCTTGCAATACTTTTTGCATTCCCTCACAATCATTTTTCCGTCCCCTCGCAATAGTTTTGCATTCTCTCACAATAGTTTTGCATTTCCTTGCAATAACGTTTTGGATTCCCATGAGCCACCTGTCACTTCCTCTTAGATGCCCGCACTGATCGGTGACCTAGTGAACTTGTATAAAGCTGGCGAGATCTCCTTTTAAACTGTAGTGCTGTTATTTTCTTTCACGCTGTTGTAAGTAGCCTACTTAATTAGGTTGGGGAACCAGCACCGTGCCGGTTCTGTGTCAGTTGAAATGTGCTATTTGTGACTCTGGGCCCAACTCTGCCACTGATTGGCCAGTCTGACAATCTTAATACATAAAGAACATTAGTGAAACACATAGTTACTTGTTCCACAGACGAAAGACACCCGTTGTAATACACCCGCTGTAAGTAACTTTTAACATACGTGAGTTTTTGTGACTCTTGGCTCTTGTCCCCTAACTAACGCTTGTTTCTGTTTCACTAACGATATTTTCACCCGATTAAGTCACATTCTGTTATTTCCCGTTATTTCCTCTGTAAACCTAACGTTACAGCAGCCTACAAGCATGCTGTGTCAATAAATCAGCTCAGACACTGTTAGAAATGTAGTATTTAGCCTAATAACATCATGCTACAGCAGTAATGATGTCAGCTTTAGTCAAATGGCTCTAGCTCTCCCAGTAAATGTCATAAACTCTGGATATATTTTCCCTGTATGTTGACATGATAATGGTAGCATTTCCCAGACCGCTCTTAGCACTAAGAGCTTCTTAGGAACGCTCTTAGGTGTCTGTTTTATGAAGATCGATTTTGTTTTTGTTTTTTTGACCCTCCCCGAAACTACACATATTAGCCATGTTTCCCACTTAAGACCGATCTTAAGACTTAAGAGCACAGTTAAGAATGTCTTAGCTAAGAAGGGTTGCTAAGATAAGAGTGTTTTCCAGATGCGTTCTTAATGCCCTTCTTAGGATCACTCTTAAGTACGCTCTTTAAGAAGCTCTTAACAGGAGCTGGCTGTTGCAGCCACAGCTTGGCCTCCAGTTTTTTCCTTGTGTTTCCCCTACCCTTGTGTCCCCTGTGCTCCTGTCTGTTTCTCTGTCTGTGTCTGTGTGGTGGGCGTGGCGCTCCTCTGCTTCCGGCTCCCTGGTCACTGCTGATTTGACACACCTGTTCCAAGCCAGTCACCTGCAAACCATCAGCTCATCAGCCCTGCAGTATATCTACCCCAGTTTTCCAGCCGCTCATCGCCAGATTGTTTCACTGCTGCGGTAGTACGCTTCAGGCCAAATCTATAGTGTTCTAAAGCTTTGCTTCTCTGTGACTCTTCGGTGCTTAACTTAATTTACTCTTCTGCTGCAGATCCATCACCTGCTCATCCAGCTGCCAGCCACTTACCTGCACGTCCGCCTCTCCACATCACTGCTGCCTTCATCTACTGTGGATCTCCTTGCCCTTGCCATCAGCCCTCCATCCAATACCCCCCCTCTACAATAAAAGACTTTATATCAACAACACCCCTCTCCGTGTCCTGCACTTGGATCTCCACCTTTGTTCGTAACAGAGCAATCTGGCCAACATGGACCCAGCGGACACAGGGGAACCCCGCCCTGCCCCGGATGAGCTTCGCCATGCGCTCGCCAGCCAAGGCGTGCTTGTGGGCCAACATGACCAGGTTCTCCGTGAAGTTGTGGAAACCCTCAGGAATCTCTCAGCCAGTGTTCATCGGATCGGAACTCAGGTAGAACAACTCTCCTCGCAGCCCACACCTCCACAACCTGCCACCCAGGCTGACCCCCCTACTGCTGCACCTCCCCCAGCCCCTCCTGTTTATCAGCCCAGAGAGCCTAACATTCCCCCACCAGAGCGTTATGCAGGTGATTTAGGCACTTGTAGGGCTTTCCTCACTCAGTGTTCTCTTATTTTTGAGCAGCAGCCCTACACCTATTGTACTGATGCAGCTAAGATTCCTTTTGTAATGGGGTTACTTAGGGGGAAAGCACTAGACTGGGCGGGCGCTGCCAAACGGCTCCTTTCGCTTCGGCAGGACTCTCGTAGTGTAGCGGAGTTTTCAGTGGACTTTAGGACGGTAGCGGCAGATTCTGGGTGGAATGACACAGCATTACAGGGGTTGTTTTTGAGTGGGCTTAGTGAACAGCTCAAGGATGAGTTAGCGGCCCGAGATGACTCAGACAGCCTAGACTCTTTAGTCTCCCTGGCTATTAAGTTGGATAATCGCCTGCGTAAGCGGCGTAGGGAAAAAGCCAGCCGTCAACCTCCCTTGCCCACCTCAAACCCCTCCCCTCCATCTTTCCCGGGAACAGCTTCAGGGTCCTTCCTAGCTCACCGCTCCTTCCCCAGTCCCAACACTCCCACTTCCACAGAAGAGGAGCCCATGCAGCTGGGTCGAGCCCGTCTCTCACAAAGCTCGAGAGTGTATTTACTGTGGTCGGTCCGGCCATTTTCTTGCTTCCTGTCCCCATCGACCAAAAGAGGAGGCTCGCCAGTAGCAGTGGGGGTTCTGGTGAGCCAAGCTTCTTCATCACAAAGCCCCCGACCCAGAATGCAACTTGAGGCCACGCTGTGCTGGAACCAGCAGTCCCTGCCGCTGCTCGCACTAGTGGACTCTGGGGCTGACGAAAATTTTCTGGACATCCACTTCGCTGCACAAGCCGGAATCACCACTGAACCACTGGAAGTCCCCATTGATGCGAATGCTCTCAACGGTAAACTCTTCGCCCGGATCACCCACCACACCAAACCCTTGCATCTAATCCTCTCTGGTAACCATCGTGAGTACATTCAGTTCCATCTGATTTCCTCCCCTCTCTCTCCCATAGTTTTAGGCCAGCCCTGGTTAATTAAACACAATCCCCATATTGGGGACTGGTCTCTGGGTAAAGTTGTTAGTTGGAGCCCTTTTTGTTTGTCCTCGTGTCTGCAATCTGCCCTAGCTCCAGTAGGGGCCACCACTTCCCCATTGAACATTGAGCCTCCTGACCTGTCAGCCGTTCCCCCAGTCTATCATGCTTTGGGTGAAGTGTTCAGTAAACAGCTCGCTCTCTCTCTTCCCCCACATCATCCTTACGACTGTGCTACTGACCTCCTCCCCGGTGCCCCTCTGCCTTCCAGTCGTCTGTTTAACCTATCTCGTCCAGAGAGAGAGAGGCAATGGAGAAGTACATCCATGACTCCCTGGCTGCCGGAATCATTCGCCCGTCCTCTTCCCCTGTTGGAGCTGGATTTTTCTTTGTTTCTAAAAAGGACCACACCCTCTGTCCCTGCATTGATTACCGGGGTCTCAACGCCATCACTGTCAAAAATAAGTATCCTCTGCCCCTTATCAACTCTGCTTTTGAACCCATCAAGCAGGCCACCATCTTTTCAAAACTCGACCTGAGGAATGCCTACCACCTCATTAGGATTCGGGAGGGGGACGAGTGGAAAACGGCCTTCAACACACCCTTAGGTCATTTTGAGTACCTGGTCATGCCCTTTGGGTTAACTAACGCCCCTGCCATTTTCCAGGCCCTAGTGAATGATGTGCTACGAGACTTCCTCAACCGTTCAGTCTTTGTCTACCTAGACGACATCTTGATATTCTCCCGCAATCCTGATGAACATGTTCAACATGTTAAACAAGTGCTACAGAGGCTGCTGGAGAAAAAACTCTTCGTGAAGGCAGAAAAATGTGAATTTCATGTCAAATCCGTGTCATTCCTGGGCTACATCATTGAAAGTGGGCAAGTGAGGACGGACCCAGAAAAGGTCCAGGCAGTGGCAGAGTGGCCCAAACCTACCACAGTTAAGCAACTGCAGCAGTTTCTCGGCTTTGCTAACTTCTACCGCCGCTTTATCAGAAACTACAGCCGAGTGACAGCGCCCCTGACCCAACTAACCTCATCTGCTACCCCCTTTTCTTGGACTCCTGAGGCAGATGCAGCTTTCACAGATCTTAAGAAATGTTTTACATCTGCTCCAGTACTCACCCACCCTGACCCCTCTCGGCAGTTTATTGTGGAAGTGGATGCCTCCAGCTCCGGGGTGGGGGCCGTGCTCTCCCAGCGCTCTGTTACTGACCAGAAGCTGCATCCCTGCGCCTTTTTCTCTCGCCGTTTGACCCCTGCCGAGCGAAACTATGATGTCGGTGATCGGGAGTTGCTGGCTGTTAAGCTAGCTCTGGAGGAGTGGAGGCATTGGCTGGAGGGAGCAGAGTATCCATTCATAGTGTGGACTGACCATAAAAACCTGGCTTACATTCAAACTGCCAAGCGGCTCAACTCCAGACAGGCCCGCTGGGCACTGTTTTTTGGTCGGTTCTCCTTCATTCTCACTTACCGTCCTGGCTCCCGGAACCTCAAGCCAGATGCCCTCTCCCGTCAGCATGCCCCTGAGGAAACACTTCCCTGTCCTGACACAATCTTGCCTGCATCCTGTGTGGTGGCTGCAGTAACCTGGCAGATTGAGTCTCTTGTTAAAGAAGCTCAGCAGGGCCACCCCAACCCAGATAACTGCCCCACTAACCTTCTCTTTGTTCCCAACTCTGTCCGGTCTCAAGTGCTCCAGTGGGCTCACAACTCCCGGTTTGCCTGTCATCCGGGTGTCAACCGCACCCTCTCCCTCTTAAAGCAGCGTTTCTGGTGGCCCACTAGTGTAGCTGACACCCGTGCCTTTGTTGCAGCCTGTACAGTGTGTGCCCGCTCCAAAGCCTCCCATCAACCTCCCTCTGGCTTACTCCGCCCCTTGCCGGTCCCTGGACGTCCATGGTCTCATATTGCTCTGGATTTTGTTACTGGACTCCCACCATCTCAAGGTAACACCACTATTCTCACCATTGTGGACAGATTTTCCAAGACTGCTCATTTTGTGGCTCTACCTAAGCTCCCCACAGCCTTGGAGACTGTTGACCTACTGATATTCCATGTTTTTCACCTCCATGGGATTCCCACAGACATAGTGTCTGACCGCGGCCCCCAGTTCATCTCGCAAGTCTGGAAAGCCTTCTGCAAAGCCCTTGGAGCTACGGTGAGTCTGTCCTCTGGTTACCATCCACAGACTAATGGTCAGACAGAGCGGGCCAATCAAGACTTGGAAGCTGCACCCTGCTGCGTTGCCTTCAAGAACCCTTCCTCCTGGAGCACTCACCTGTCTTGGATTGAATATGCACACAACTCCCAGTCCAGTGCCGCCACAGGTATGTCACCTTTTGAATGTGCTATGGGGTTCCAACCACCTCTGTTTCCAGCCCAGGAGGATGAGGTCTCTGTTCCCTCAGTCAAGGCGCACCTCCGTCGATGCCGTAAAATTTGGAGACATGCGCGTGCTGCCTTGCTGCGCTCCGCTGACCGCAACAGATACATTGCAGACCGCCATCGGAGACCAGCTCCCAACTACCAACCAGGTCAGAGAGTTTGGCTTTCCTCCAAAGATCTCCCTTTAAAGACTGTTTTCAGGAAACTTTCACCCCGTTATGTTGGTCCATATGAGATTGATTCAGTTATTAACCCCAACGCAGTTAGACTCAAGCTGCCCCCCCACATCAAGGTTCATCCCACATTCCATGTCTCTCAGCTCAAACCAGTTTCCTCCAGTCCTCTGTCTCCTCCAGCTGCAACCCCCCCTCCCCCCCGCATCATCGATGACTACCCAGCTTACACCGTCTGGCGACTGTTGGATGTGCGCCGCCGAGGCCGGGGCTACCAGTACTTGGTGGACTGGGAGGGTTATGGGCCAGAAGAGCGCATCTGGGTTTCTCGTCGGGATATCCTGGACGCATCCCTGGTTCAGGACTTTCATAGGGAGAATCCGGACAAACCTGGTGGGTCGCCTGGAGGCGCCCGTTGAGGGGAGGGTACTGTTGCAGCCACAGCCTGGCCTCCAGTTTTTTCCTTGTGTTTCCCCTACCCTTGTGTCCCCTGTGCTCCTGTCTGTTTCTCTGTCTGTGTCTGTGTGGTGGGCGTGGCGCTCCTCTGCTTCCAGCTCCCTGGTCACTGCTGATTTGACACACCTGTTCCAAGCCAGTCACCTGCAAACCATCAGCTCATCAGCCCTGCAGTATATCTACCCCAGTTTTCTAGCCGCTCATTGCCAGATTGTTTCACTGCTGCGGTAGTACGCTTCAGGCCAAATCTATAGTGTTCTAAAGCTTTGCTTCTCTGTGACTCTTTGGTGCTTAACTTAATTTACTCTTCTGCTGCAGATCCATCACCTGCTCATCCAGCTGCCAGCCACTTACCTGCACGTCCGCCTCTCCACATCACTGCTGCCTTCATCTACTGTGGATCTCCTTGCCCTTGCCATCAGCCCTCCATCCAATACCCCCCCTCTACAATAAAAGACTTTATATCAACAACACCCCTCTCCGTGTCCTGCACTTGGATCTCCACCTTTGTTCGTAACACAGCAATCTGGCCAACATGGACCCAGCGGACACAGGGGAACCCCGCCCTGCCCCGGATGAGCTTCGCCATGCGCTCGCCAGCCAAGGCGTGCTTGTGGGCCAACATGACCAGGTTCT